TACATATATATATACACATACATATATAAATATATATATATACACATATACATACACACATATGCATACATATAGTCATCTCACAAGTTTTAAATTAAACAACACAGAGAAGAGATGCCCATTGGTGGTAGACATAGCAGTTCAAGGGTAAGCATGATCACTGAAGTTAGGGTTGTCATGATGGGCCATGTGCCTGGGATATAGAAAGTGTCTGGTCAGGGGTGGGTCATGGACCAAAAGAGAAGAAGATATGCAGAAAGTGACTCAGCAATCCTGGAGGTCCCCAGAGCTGCTCTAGGAGCAGACACGACTCTGGGCCCAGCACCCCTGCAGCTTGCCACTACTACGTCCCAGTCCCAGTCCTTTAGGTTTTCACAGGTGTCTTTTCATTTAGCCCACTACATTTGAATGAGGCTGCATCTCTGCTCTTTGCCACCAAATGGATCTAAACAGAGTACTCTTTTATGCTCAGATCTTCTCTTTTATCTTTTATACCCTATATCACGGACTCACCAAGCACTCTGAAATTGTTTTGTAATAGTTTGTCTCATCCATGTCTAAATTATGAAACTGAAAACACGCAAGCTTCCCTCCCAACTGTGAAATCTGGTATACAGCAAATACTGAATAAATGCTTGTGGTAAAAGATGGTAAAACGTTTGAAAACAACATCAACAGCATGTACTTCAGAGTTTTCTATGTAGAGTTCATCTTCACACCCACCTAGCCAAGGAAGCACTGTGAATGCCCAAAGTCTACAGGGTACAGTCTTGGACCAAGCCTGCTCCTACATTTTTCTGCTTCTGTCACTTCCCATAAATCCACACAACATCCTAAGCAAGTGGCAGGATTAGATTTCTCTAAAAGAATCACTTTAAATCATGTGATTTTTGAGACTATGCATGACACTACTTAAATGACAAGCATCGTGTAAGGAAGGAGGACAGTCCAGGCCAAAGAGTATTTATAATGTATAGAAAATATTACATTGCATGAAGAAATTAAATTTTATTTTACATAGTGGTTTTCTTTTATTGTCAGAGACAAAGACTTTTTTCTATTATTTAAGAGGATAGGTAACTATGCGATTTCAGCCTTTTTATTTATCTTATGCCAGGTCCTAAATATTTCTGGCAAAAATTAATATTACATCTGAATATTTCATCATACGATTTCAAAATAACTATAGTCCACATTCATCTTAAACACTTACCAGTACTGTCATGTTGCGGTAGGAAAAACCCACCTCCTGAAGCAGTGATGAACTGGTGGTGGCTTCCACTTTCCGAAGAGATGTACCCATCCTGCCTATCAGCTAATGTTCCCTGGGATGACAAATAACTAGGGATATCGGCGGGCAAGTTGGTCTCATCTGTAATCAAGCAACAGTATTCTCTCAACCAAAAATGACAGGCACTGTCCCACAGCTTTCCCAGATGAACAGTGCGGACTGGTTTCTGTGCTAATCACATAAGGAGTATGTACTATACCAAAGTCAGTCCGACATCTGTGTTCAGGAGAGGCAAATCAGGGCTTTGAAGTACAAGCTGATTTTGTGCATTGTCACTCTCCAAATTTCAGATGTGCCCTCCCCCAAATTTCAGAAACAAGAATTTTCATAGATGCGAACCGACGCCCTTGAGTTAAACACGATCTCACTGGCAGTTTGCGTAGATTGGTTAGGTCACAGCCCCTTCCTTTACTCAGAGCTAAAGTCCTCCCTAGGTAAATGTGCCCAGGACCCAGCCAAATAATCACTGCAGAGTAACCTTATGACTCAAGGGTGACTCCTGTTTCCTCACTGCCTCGTGAGGAGTTAAGATTCCTTCACCCAGTGGTTTGGATTGTATCACGCAGCCAACAGGAGGTGCTGATGAGGTTTTAACAAAAAGTACTAATCTTTAAATATCAGCTTTATTTCAGGCTGGTGTATTATTTTTAGCTAACCATATTTCTGCAGCTTGAAAAAAATGAGTCACCCTTCTGAGATGGGCTCAGGTTGCGAGACACACATTCTTGAAGAAAATGACCGAGGAACCACAAATACACGTGACTGCCGCACACCCGGCCAAGCTTCTGTTTACACACCTGTGTTGGTAATGCTGCAATCCTCATTCCTCCGCCTGGTGTGGTAGATGATGACCACCCACACGAGCGACGTGCCCACCACACAACAGACCACGGCTATGATCACGACGCCCACAGTGGCCCATCCGTCGTCATCTAAAGACGGGGCGGTCATCTGAGGAGAGTCACAGGTGGGAGTAGGGATCACACTGAGGCGCACGTTGCCTCTCTCTGTGCCAAGGGTATTGGACATTTCACATGTGTATTTCCCAGCATCACTGACATCCGAGTCCACAATAATCAGCAGCTGGTTGCCTGCTGCAAAGAAGTGCCTTTCAGTCACTACCAAAGGGCTGTCATCCTTGGTCCAGTTCAGCCTGGGTGGGGGGCTCCCTCCAGCGATGCACTGCAGGACGGCTGTTTCTCCCTTGGTCACAGTTCGGTCTAACAGAGGCCGCAAGAAGGACGGCGTTTCTGAAATGACAACTTATGTTTTTAATTTCCTCGATGAAATTTGGTTTCCATAAGATAAGATCAGCAGTTGCATTTATTCAAATTGTAGCATCTAATTTTATGCTCCCAGAACTTACTAGATACATTCCTTCATTGCCTAAAAACAACACAACCTTTGGGATTTCATCGTTCTGCTGTCATTTACTCATAATGGCAGGCATGATAGTATAGTCATTTTTACCTCAACTTCCCTCACTCTTAGGTTAGGGAGTTGATAAGAGAGGATAAAACACTTTTTAAAAACGTCAGACAGAGTTGTGCACATCCATAATCCCAGCACTCTGGGAAGCTAAAGCAGGAGGATCACAAATTTGAGCCCTGTCAGGGCAACATAATGCATCAGTGAGACCCTGTCTCAAAGCAAAGCAAAGCAAAACATACAAAATGTATGAAATAATTTCCAACATGTTCATGGATGGAAAAGTGAACAATGCTTACCTTTTTAACACTGACTCATTCTACCAAGTCTTAAGAAGTCCTCTTACCTAGCACAGTCAGAGTAGCATTTGCAGAAATACTTCCTGCACTGTTCTGTGCTGTACAGCTGTACACCCCGATGTCTTCTATCTTCACGTCCACAATGAAGAACACATCATCCTCAGGCATCACATGCATGCGTCTCTCCCTTGCGGCTGGGAAATCTGTGCCTCCATCCTTTTGCCAGGCTATCTGTGGGGCTGGGTGTCCCATGGCAGCACATTCCAAGCGCGCCATGGCCCCAGCACGGATGGTCAGGTCCATGGGCGTCTTGGTGAATGAGGGAAGCACTGAAATCACAAAGGTAATGCAGGCACATGTCTTACGGTGTTTGAAGGGTTCACCTGATGCCTTCCCCATCACCATCACCTTTTCTTTAAAAGTATTTACAAACGTTCCTGATAAAGGTAAAGCAGAGGTTATTTGTAATTTCGAGATTCGGAAACTAAAGTTGAAATGGAAAGATGAAGTAACTCACCTAGGGTTACACAGGTATAGAGATGAGTCAGGATTACATGCAAGTCATCTGATTCTCAGACTAAAAGTCATTCTGCTATCTTCTGACCACTTTTTAGTTTACTCAGTAATTATCTGTGAGCCTGTGGGCACATCAATTAATCTCTTTGTTCCCTGACAATTCATTTTATTGTTTTTTCTATGTCCCTCCCAGGGGCTCTAACATTCACTCAGTTTCAGCATGTGTTTGGGCCTACAATTTAAATTCAAAACTGTTCAATGTGCCAGGCCTCAGTAATCACTGGCTTAGATACAAAGAACGAAGAGTCTTAATTTCATGGAGTGAGAGGTGTAGAAAGGAAGATAGGTGGGAAACTACGAGAAGGACAGGGATAGGACTGAGGCAGAGACAGAGACGAGGGAACCAGTGCTTTGTTTCTAAAAGTTAGCCCCAGTGCAAAAGGGAAAGGGAATATCTCTTACTGTTTACTGTAAGCTTGGCTTTGACGGAGTAGGATGAACCAAAGTGATTGGAGATGACACACTGATATTTCCCTTCACTGGCAAATTCCACACTGCGCAGCCACAGAATAGTGGTGTACTCCATCACCTCACCACCCTGCGCCCGGAGGTGTGCATAATTTTCCATCTCAGCATCATGCAGGAGTTCGTTGTCTTTTTTCCAAGCAAAAGTCATTGGGGAATCACTGCTGCTGGCAGCTGAGCAGATAAAACTCAAATTGGAGCCTTTTATCGCCGACTGTGTTTCTGGCTGAACCGTGATTTGGGGTTTGGGAAAATCATCTGTTCAAAATGGAGAGAAGGAAAGAAAACAATATGAAGGCTCAAGAGTCCAAGGGCTGCTCACATCTGAGCACTAAGGAATGCAAAACAAACAGCAGCTCAGGTCTGACCCTCAGCTGATGTGGTACAGACTGATGAGCAGTCCCATGTAGAAAGGATACCCTGGAAGGGTGTTCAGAAAGTCGTCTGCTGGTGTCGGGTAGAGACAGAGATCTATTTATCACCACTGTTATGTGAGACGAGTCTTATCTTGAAATTTTCAGAAAACCCATCATTTATCCCAAGTCTTGTGCTTTATATCAGTCTAAGAAGGCACCTAAGAAATCATAGGGGAAGTCAAGCAGTATGTAAACTTGAGTGATGTATCACGATATCAGGTGGACAGCTATTAAGTGATTATTTCGAAAGAGCCAGTACAGCTGTGCATGATGGCACATGCCTGTAACCTGGCATTCAGGAAGCTGAGACAGGAAGATTATAAATTTGAGGCCCACCTAGGCAACTCATCAAGATCTAGTCTCTAAAGGAGAGAGAGAGCCAGTATAGGATTTCCAATGTTCTCAACACAAGAGACGATACCTGTCTGAGGTGACAATGGTCCAGCTACTCTGATTGGATCACGACAAGCTACAGTCATGCCCTGAAAAGTCACACTGAATCCCATAAATATGCATGATTACAATGTGTTAATTAAAATTAGGAAATTTTTTTAAAAAGAAAGAAAGCAGTTAAACTTCCAGGCTCATGGACCATCTTTGAGTGCTATCGTCAGAAAGCGCATTTTCTCCCATGTTCTCCACGAATAAGAAGCAACAAAATTCAGAACCCAAACATCAATCATAATGATCAGTATCACCAAAGAAAGCAATTAACACCCCATTTACCATAAACAGAGCCAATGTTGAAAAGCAGTAATTTAGGTTGAGCCAAAAAAAAGAAAATCCTCTAGTGAGCTGAAGGCATCTCCAAGTCACACTGTGAGACACTGGCTCCAGCCAGGAGTTCGGAGCAGTCCATTAATCATGTCGCTGTGCTGCCCTGTCAGAGCTACATTATAATTAGAGCGAGCAACTCTTTCATTCCAAACACTTATTTTTAGTTCTCTCTTACTTTTTGGAAAAGCTACCTCTTTTGAGAACTTCAGTTACTCAGAGATGTTCTAAACCAGACAGAAACATCTCAGATTTACCAACCTGTGTATCCTTTGGAAGGTAACTTTTATACATATGAGCAAGGGGACTTGGATAAGTCCAACGCTGCTAATTTCCGACAGGATATCGGCAGGTTGTAAGCAAGACAGTTTCATCTTGTGTACCATTATTCTGAAATTCTCATCTTATAATTTCCAGATTCAGGTTCAAAAAAATATGATAATATACATTTGTCTCTAAGTAAGAGTTCATATCTTGGCACTAGAGAACTGTAAAATAGGGACCATGGGAAAGGAACATCTCAGGCCCTTACGGATGAATGCCAAAAGCTTATTCACATCCAAAAACTACATCAGAGGTTTTATTTCCAGAAACTGCTGGCATTATTTAATGGTGCAACCTAAAAAAGAAAATACTGTACACCAAGCAGTGTTGAGTACATTCTTAAATGCAATGTAAAATACGGTTCTATAATACCTTCACACATAGGCTTAAATTTAAGTAAACTTTGATTTCATGTTGTATATACATATTTTTATAAGCGTTTCCCTGGTAACTAATAGTAAACAGCAATATAATGTAGTAGACAAAAAATATGCATCAGAGATGGAAACTTAACAATTTTAATCAAGATCTGCCACTAGATAGCTGTGTGAAGTTTGGCTAAGAAGACTTCTAATGCTGAAATTCTTGGGTACGAAATAATAGGCTTCAGAATTATTTATAACAAATTTAAATTTGCTGTTACTTATAATGCTTTGCCCAACCAACGGCTCATTTTTCAGTGGCCCGTAAATCCTTAGCTACTTAACTTTTTTTCCTATGAGCCTCTCAACAAGCACTAGAGTGGAGGAGAAAGCAGTTAAGAAACTTCCAGGCTCACGAACCACCTCTGAATACCTCTATCAGGAAGTGCAACTTTTCCCGTTTTCCATAATTAAGGAGCAGTAAAACAAAGAAAGTAAATATCGATCGAAAACTCAGAATCAACAAAGACAGCAATTAACTCCCCATCTGCCCAAAAAAGAGCAATATATAATAAAAATGAGTAGCAGAGACTCCACTGAATGGACGCAGAGACTATAGGATTTTGGAAATTTAAATGAAATGTCTTCTAGTTCTCCCAAGATCCAATTTCATTCTTTTTCCACCAAACCACTCTGATGCCACAGCAAAGAAGTTTTACAGACCTCTCTTTCCCATCTGTAAAATTTGAATAATCAGCAAACTATAGATCTATTTTCATTTATCTCAGCAGAAAAGAAAGATTTATTAAGAGAACGTACGTCTGTTCAAAACCATTCTTTGGACAAACAGGAGGAAAAAAAGAATGAAGAAAATCAAGGGCAATACTTATACTCACCACACACAAAGCCATCTGGGCTAATGGCAAAAATACTTCTTCCTTTTAGCAGCTGAGGATGGGCACAACTGGCATTCACAAAGCTTTGGAAGTTGTTCTCTGCCACCCACTGTGGGAGCCATTTTAGTTGGCAATCACACAAAAGGCTTGATGTATTTAAGTGCCTGAGGAGAGTAATTAGGTTCAATTTATTTTGTATGAAATGCAGATTTCTACAAGTAAACTAAAATAAATATTAAAAAGCAATGAATTGAGAAATTGTTAAAAATATTCCAAAGTCCATTTTGAATGTAAGACATGTACCTACCATATGTTCATTACTATTATTGTTGATATACTTGTCTTACTAGGGCAGAGGGCTAATATATCAAAATTCCTGACTCTAAAATATTGCTATTATATTTAGGGGCCTTACTATATTTTGATCCCACAAATTTAAGTTGCAAATTCTGAACAGAAAGAAAAAGAAACTCCATGTTACAACAAAAGAACAAACAGCCAATTCCTTTTGCTTTTTGGTATAAAAATTAAGTAGGGTTAAGATGTGCTAGACACTTTTTATAGTCACAATAATCTAAGATGACACATTGTATGACATTTTTCCCTTCTATCCTCATTTGGAATACCTGGAAGGAAAAGAAAAAGCTTACAGTTGTTGAAGCTTCTTCATTTGTGAAAAGGCATTGCCTTGTAAAGACATAATGGCGTTGTCACTCAGGTCTCTGAAAAACAGCCAAGTCAAACACATCAGAGAACACCATGGTCACTCTGTGTCTTCAGGCAAAGTCTGGGCCACAGTGCCCACCCCATTCACCAAGCAAATGCCCAAAGTACTGAAATACACAAATGTGGCAGGCAACTCTAGGAAGCATCCATCCCGAAGCTTGGGTCGAGGACCAAGGATATTTGCCTCAGACACAAGATTCTACTGAGTGACATATTTTGCTACATGTACAGGTTACTTGACTCCTAAGGGCCCAAGCTGTTCTGCTATATAGTTTTAGTATATTTCTCATTATTAAATTAGTAACTACTGCTTAACTTTTATTTATTTATTTTTTGGTATTGGGGATGGAACTTGGGTCCTTGTGCTTTTGAGGCAGGTGGCGGCACCACCGAGCTAAATCCCTGGCCCCTGCTTAACTTTTAAATATACAAATAAAATTTCTCAAAATTATGTTTTTTAAAACAGTATCCATAGCACACTTCTATGACATGCACTCTGTTAAGTGAGTTGTGTGTTACTGCATTTACCCTTACAGCAGCCCAAAAGAAGATATCATTACTCGTAGTTCAGCATGAAAGGGGAAAGTAAGTGCTGAATTAATTCTGGAACCTATGCTTTTAACTACCAACATAATTCTGCCACACACAGTTCACTAACACAAAGGCAGTAAGATGTTCAGGCAAGATATAATTCTTAAACACTCCAAGCAGGACATTTTGAAAATAAAAGAATATTCTGGGCTGATTTTATTTTTAATCAGTACTTATAAGCAGGATAAGCCACAAGGACTGGTACTGCTTCTTGAGAGAAGTCAAAATATATGAAAGGGATTTTGAATGAGCCAAGTAGTAACGGGACAAAGAAAGAAAATGCCAGACACGGATAGGGAAAGAAGCCAGGCGAGTAAAGGAAGGGTAAAGAAAACAACATGGAGGTTTACAGTCCACTGATCCACTAATTTCACTTTCCCAGTAACGCAACGGGCCAGGTGACAAACCCTCTGGCTAGTTTTCCTCTGAAAATAATCTGTTTCAATAAGTACAGCGATACTGGCCCACCCTTCCAAAATAGGTTTGCAGGATCATTCTACTACAATTTTCCCTGCTGCACTGTCAGGTCTGGCAATCCAAATCACCCTCAAACTAACTGGTGCAGTCAGAAGATGACTCTTAAGTGATTTATAGATAACATTGAAATCTTCACTCTCAATACAAAATCCAAAGGAGACAGGAAACCATATGTGTATTTTAAATGATAACTTCTTTTTTTCAAGTTAAAAGACATTAAAATTTTTGGCCACAAGCATTCCTTAAGACTACAAGTAGATGCATATATTACTTTATAATTTTACAAATATAAAACATACACCAATGGTTTGCTGGTTCAATTAATCAAAACACAGTGTTCAGGCAAGGTTGGGCTCCTCCTGACATCGGCAGAAAATCTTGAACCCCTAAGTCTCATTTCAGATACATGTGCCAGGAGTTGCTCATCAGGGGCAGAGATTGGTCTGGCAAGAGCTACAGTGATGCAGGGATTCCCTGAAGACAGAAGCAGAAATTTCTGAGTCCTATTTCTGCCGGTCTGATGGTCAGTAACTGATGGGTCAGTGACCAAGAAGAATGATGCTGGTGATGGGGGGCTGTATTTTATATTAAGCATCAGCAACAAAAATTCTCAATATAGTGTTGAAGCCCTCCAATCTCACCCTTTAGGATTGTGAGGAGTTGTCTTTTTGATCTTTAACATCCAAGTTATCTTAACTGTCCAGTGGAATCGATGGGCCTTCAAAACCTCCACTGAAGTTAAAAATAAAGATAATATTACCTACTGAATAGCATTCGTGTAAGGATCAAATGAGATGTACCTGGCAGAATGTTTAACGTGTAAGAAATGCACAATATGTGGTATGCTTTTGAAAAAGTTAAATATATCAGTACTTGATAAAAAGAAAATCTAATAATGAATTACAGCAGTGTACTTAAATGCATAAGTAAGTATATAAACTTCCATACAGGTAAATAGGTAGATCAATAGAGAAATGGGTAGGCAAGTAGGTAGACAGATACACAGATACAGAGATAGATGGGCTGGTAGATGTGTAAATATAGTTTATGCTACCACCAGTAGAATGCCAACAAAATTACATTCTAGCTTGTTTTATCTTTCTTGACACATAACTAGACATCCATCTTAGACTACCTCCAGGGTAACTAATTTCCAGCTACTCACAAATGTTCTAATGCATCCAGACCAGTGAAGGCTTTTTTGGTAATAGATCGAATCCGATTTCCCTGGAGTGTTCTAGGGAGAAAAAAGAACAAGAGTAACATATTGGAACAGTTAATTTAAAAGAAGCCATTTTGGGAGTGGAATACTCATAAAAAGAATTGCTTTTTAAATCATTTGTGAACAATTCCGTTTTCTCCAATTCAACATTTGTAAAAATGTAGCTATGCCATTTACTTTTAATATAGATCAACATGGTTTTCCAAGAACTCAACAGAGAACCTGGCAAAAATAGCATGCATGAGTGGTTCTGATGGTCACATTAAAATACTGTTTTTCAAAGTCTTTTTAGGAACAGATTGATCCATTTCCTTGTATTCAAGGAAAGTATTTCCAACAAAGCAAGAATTAGTGGAGGTTTGCTCCTTCCCCTCCTCATCTGGGGGGTACCTTCATCATCAGCTTAAAATATAATATGGCCATCTATAAGACCTTTTTAGAGATAAATACAAAACGTTTTCATCCTATATTCTTGGAGCCTACTGCAGCTTTATCAGTGGGCACTGGATCACTCCACATCAAAGTGCCTGTGAGCAGCAAGCAATGCTGAGGTTTTCGAAGTTTTCAAGTTTGTAAGTGCATTCATTTTAACACATCCATTTAACAAATTCAACCATTCAAAATAATTTAAAGTTCGTCTTTAGTTACTAAAATAAGTTATACATACTTGAAGTGTTTAATTTTCTTTCTCTTAGCCAAGAAGAAAAGCCAATTAATACACACATATCTTATACAACAGCACTCATTTAGGGGAAATGATAAAGGCAACAATCAGATTGGTTACACCCCTACTTCCAATCTCTTTATGATGTCAATTTATGGAGTTAACTTCATTTAAGACAACAATTTTAAGTCAGTGTGAGCCCAATAATAAGAAGGCAAATTATACTCACAGCTGTCTCAGTTTGTCAAGTCCAGAGAAAGCACCATTCATGTCCTCAATAGTCCATGAAATTTCATTGTTCTTCAGATCCCTAATTAAAAAAACAAAACAAAACATTCTCTTTAGAGATATGCTTCAGAGACCTAAGATCACCACTCAGGTGGCATGTCATTTCGTAATTGCCCCATGATCTGCACCCCTTTCAAAGTAATAAACTCTTGGCTTTCTACCATCCCTCTAACACTGCTCTCTTTCCTTAACAAGTTTTAAGGATTTTGCTCCAAATAAAGACAGTTAATTCTGGCCCTGTTAATTTTTCTATCATGTAATGCTGGCAACAGGTCACAGAGCACCAAACTCTGGCAGTGCAGAAAATCAGAAGACCACTGCACAATTAATTCAACTCTCTTCTCTCACTTAGGACAGAGATCAGGGTGTGAATATGACTGTCTGATAAACAGGGATCTTCCTTCGCTGCTTTTTATGTTATCTTCTTGCTCTATTTTTTTAATCTGTACTGTACAAAGAAAAAGCAGTGCATTTAAAATTGTTTCCATCTTAAGCAGTTACTAACTTCCTGGAGATCCTGAGGAGGCTAAGAAGGATAATCACCCAGACAATCCGATCACTGTCTTTTTTAATCCCTTTAAGAAACACATATGGATGAAATGGATCCATTTTAATCAAACTGTTCTGGGAAAGATTAAGATGCTACTTTTGAGGCTATACACATTTCTTTGACAACAAAGAAAAGCTGCTGGGAGAAAAGTGGGCACATTTAGGAACCAAATAGGTTCGTATACTAAGCAAAAAGTGTAACTTACAAAGTCTTTAAACTGGAAAGCCCCCGGAAGGCACAATCAGCAATGTAGCTGACTTTGTTGTTCCCAATGTGCAGTGTATTTAGTAAGCTTAGGCCAAGGAAGCTGGAATCATCTAACCTTGATAACTGGTTGAAAGTTAGGTCCCTGTAAAGAAAAAAGAAATTTAAAAAACAGCCTTTGTTTTTTTCCATTCCACACAATGATTTGTTTTCAAAAAGCCAGATGATAAATGTAACTAACATAATCCTCACTTTAGAATTCTTCCTTAACAATACTCTGGTAAACATTATTTTTAATCTGAGTAATGAAAAAAAAAATAACCACGACTGCTTTCACCAGTGTGCCACAAACTAAAACATCAGAGGGGGCTTCAACTTAATCACAACAGAAGTACGTGAGGTTGCATGTGAAGAAAACCGTCACCTTGGAAACTTTGTTATGAAAATTTCACAGATCAGTGGTAAGAAGCTCATGCTCTGGCATGATCCCTGCTCATGAATCTGAAGAGAATAAAAGGCAACTCACAGCTTGCTGAGTTTCTGGCAGAACTCCCAGGCATCAGGGCTGATCCTGTTGATGGCATTCTGGCTGAGATGGAGTTCCTGCAGCATCAGCAAGCCGTAAAGCCAACCCTTGGTAATCTCTGTTAGGTTGTTATGGTCCAGCTGCCTATATTCACAATAAGAATCAAAGGCAGGATCCAGAGTTCATTATCTAGTCTCTTCAAGGGGACATACGATTACAACCTATTACATATTCCTATTGTTACTAGATATTCAGCTTCTGCTCTGTGAAAACATCAGCAAAAAATTCTATATAAAGTCTTGCTTATAAAACTTATATACTTATAAACTCTCACTTGGGTTACCTGAAACAAAACTGAACACTAAATAATAAATAAGATTGCGTATTATGAGATAAGCATAGGATTTCAAACAAGAGCTACTTCATGAAAGTTCACTGAGCATTCTATGATCACACTACCTGAGTGGGAACCATGATAACCCACTTACAAGATTTCCATGTTGCTCAGACCCCAAAAAGCTCCATCCATCAGTTTTGTTACTCCATTTCTTTGCATCTTCAGGGACTTCAGAGCACCAAGCCCTTGGAAAGTTAGTCCATCTACATTTCTAATCTTGTTTCGGTTTAGTTCTCTGCATTGGATATTAAAATTAAACAGTTAGCTTATTTGACCATTAAATTCTAGTAATCTAATGTGCCATTATTATAATATATTTAACCAATTCAGTGGTAAATTATTAGAATATTTTACATTTTGAAATATTTTTATTGATAAGAATACCAATTTTTTAGCAGTGAGTGAATTGCTCTCTGAAATGAGGCAGGCAGTGGCACCACTGAGCTAAATCCCCAGGCCCTCTCTCTGAAATGTGTGATTTTCTTGTGGGGGGGTAACAAAATATTGAAAGTACACTGCACTTTAATATCTAAACCATTATCCACTCAGGATAGAAGCAAACAAATCAATATTTATGTTTACATGATCAGGATGAAAACATTAAACATTACACTAAAGCAGGAGGTCCATTCAAGAGCACAGCAATCAAAAGTATCCTGCTCAATCTGTTTACAAAATTATCTTTTGCGAGTCTTTTTCAGGTTGAATGCTTTCTTGTAGGCAATAGTTGTCAACCTTGGCTGGACACTGGAACCACCTGGAGAGTTTTAAAAATTACTGAAGCCTAGATCCTACCCCCAGAGGTTTTAATGTAATTGGCCTAGGGTGTGGCCTGGATGCTGGGATTTTTAAAAGCTCCCCAAGTCTCTGTAATGTGCAGCCAAAGTTGAAACCCACTACTGTGGGAGCCTGTTCACAGATCATTCCACCATTATTAGCAAGATAGGTTTTTACAGCCACTTCAGCTATCAGAGCCTGCCTGTACTGTGGTATTCTTCTCATAAACTGCAGCTGTTAAGGGGCCCTGTGATTTCCTCAGTGCCACAATGGCACACTTGCAAGAGGGCCATACAATGATAACATTGCTCTAGCTCTTCTAGTAACAATCTAACACTGCCATGCAAGGCAGCAGCTGGTAGCTTTTTTCAGTGAGGAAATTCTGTAACTCCAGCTCTCAAAGGAAAGACGGCTACATGCTTGTTTCTAAGCTCCTTTTTCCACATTGTGGACTTCAGTATACAGACACCAAGGGTTTGGAGGAGATAAGGACATTTGACTCACAGGTGCTGCAGCTGGGACAACTTAAACATCTTGGGTGGGACTGTTGAGATCCGGTTTCTGTTCAGCTTCAACACCAGGAGAGTATTGGCCAAGTTGTCAAAGTACCCAGGTTCCATGGATGTGACTCTGTTGCTATTGATATACCTATTGAAAGTTTCAAGATGAGCTGTTTTCTTTCTTTCCCTCCTTCCGTCCCTCCTTTCCTTTCCTTCCCCTCCCTCCCTCCCTCC